ACTATAAGTTCACAAAGAAATATTGAAGGAATCATTTGCTGTTCAATTAGTCAAAAAAAGGAAAATTGAGAGAAAATTAAAGAAAAAATAAAAATTTTAATAGAACAATTAAAAAAAAAATTATATCAAAACGATGAGCATGAAAAATTTTAACAAATATTTAAAATGATATTTTGCATCCTATAAAAGACGCAAATTATAAGGAAAAAGAAAGAGAATGAATTATAATTTTTAAAAAAAAAGGCAAAAACAAAAATTAAATAAATTAAATTTTATAGAATTTCACATCAACTATGATACCCGATTGGTACTTACCATCAATGCTTCGATTGTTTGAGCTTACCGTACAAGCAAATGTATCATTTCGTATAGCAACCTGTCTTCCAACTTCACTTCGATTATTTCAAAGCTATTTAAATGCAATCATTAATGCGCATTTTTGTCCTGAAACCAAAGAATGGTTATGGTATCGTTGGTGTAATGCTATTGTTCCCGTTTTGCTTTTATTTGAAATTTCCTGCTGCACTCTTTTCTCGATCAATACCATTCGTCAAGATTATCAAAGCAAGGCTTTTTCTTTAAAGAGGAAAAAAGTGCATAATCAATGGAACAGTTTATTATTGCTTTAATGGAAATTTTAATTGAAATTACAAACCAAAATTATGGATGCATGCAATGCATCCATAATTTTTTACGCATTTTGTAACTAAATATTTTGATATATTTGAAATTTTTAAATGTTCAAATTTTAGTTTTATATAAGATATCGTTTAATTTATTTATAATCAGCGCTCTATTGCACATGATTGCATGTACTGCAACAACGATTTATCGAAGGAATCGAAAATTTGAGGTGATATGTTTTTTTTTTTTTAATACAATATAATTGTTAAAAAATTCAATAATTTAGTTGAAATTTTTAATTTCTTATTAAATGTTAAAATTCTTTTCTTAAATACTTCAATTAACACTTATCACTGTTATCTACCGAATTTTTTCAATTTTTTCTTACATAAATCAATTTTTTTAACATGCAATAGTAAATTAGAGGAAGCAACAAATGATAATTATTTTTAAAACATTTGAAATAAGAAATTTTAGGGAATTTTAATTCCAATAAAATGAATAAATATTTAAAGAAAAATTTTTATGGCGATCATTTCATTTTCGTTGCTAACCTTTTTTTTGCTCATATCAAATTATAATAAATATCGTAATTTCAGATGATCGATCGGATATCTGTGATAATCAAATTATTATCTTTGATTGCATTTGGTATAGTAACTCCACAAGTGACCATTTTTCACAATATATTTATCGATTCACCAACATGTCACTATTACGGTTTGATTAGATTCATTTAATTATACTAGCTAACTTGATGGAATGATCAGCTAAATTATATGTCTATTATTTTAATTTTATCATTCAAATTGATAAGAAACAAATTATCAGTTGATTACAAAAAATTATACCAAATGATTACAGAAAATAATTGCCAATAAGTAGTTAGCAATTAAAAGCGCACTGTTAACTATTTCATCATTACATAAAACAATTTAAATTTGCCAGAATAGAACTACAAAAAAACGGCGATTTCATTAGCAATTATGCATAAATTGATGAATTTTTTCGCTTTAAGTAAAGAAATAAATGATTGGTATAAGCTTTTTTTTTCACAATAAACT